CCTTGCTCTAAATGGGGTGATGAGCTTTGTCTCAAAAGAAACTAATTAAACAGATAGTCTTGTTTGTTTTTATCCTAATAAAAGGTTGCTATTAACCTTCCTGAGGCAAATAAACCATCATTAAACCCTTAGTCCACTTTTACTCCTGCAATAACCAGTGCACATTCACTGTGCTAAAAGTCAGGGCAATGTGAGTTTCATCTCCACCTCAGAATTGAAACTATCCCTGTGCCCAGGCTGAAAACACTCCCTGCTCATGTAAATGAGAGCAGTTGGCAATAGCTCTTGGCAGCCTTCTTTCAGGAGTGGGGTATTATATTGTCTCTAGTTTTCTTTAATTTAATTTGTGCCTTCCGGGTTCTTGGTTAACATTTTTGAAGTACTTTAATCAGGAATCCACACTCAGGGTAGTTAGTTAACATTTGAAAGACCCTAATCAAGATTCTATACTCCAGTGGCAACCAGCGCATCAGATCTTGCTCTCTGAGTCCTCCCCAATGGGTGTATTACTTAGAATAAAAGATGTTAGAAGTAATTTTTTTATGGTGAAAAGAAAGATATTTAAGATATAGTTGACCAAGTGCTTCCACTGGGACATGATTGGAGGATAAGGATTGGTGAGTCGAGCAACCTACCAGTCTAGGTCTAGAGCTTGTTTTGTTTCTGTGCTTATAGCCCTGGGAGGATTTCATCAATTCACCCGGCCAGTCACTGCAGCATAGGTCTCTGCCAAATTCTGCCTGCTTCTCTACCCTGAGCTCACTGGACATGCACTCTGGCTGCACTCATTGCTTACATTTTTTGTCTACAAAGATATTACTCTCAATTTTGAGGCAGGCTATTTTTTTTTTTAAAATTAACTTATATTTTATATATAATAGTGTTTTTTTAGTAGATTGGATATCTAAAGTATGAAGTTGTAATGGCATTTTGATCAGAGGCAGAAGAATTATTTTTTATTAGTGGTAACTTTCTTATTATTTCCTGCTTGAGAATATTGTCAGTATTTCGAGGCCAGGTTCCCATCTGTCGGGGCAGCATGGTGGGTATGTAATCCTGATGCTTTAGTGGTCTAATTAGGCTTGGTGATTTTTTGAAGGCTCCTTTTTATATTGAATTCTGTTCAGTAGTGGCAGACATTATATAGTGATAATGTTCTTGAATACATGTAAATTATGTAGGTAAAAAATGTATGTTATATAATTTAGGTACTGTGCATAATATAAGGAATTACATCTACCAGGAATTTATATAGTAAATATTACCATTATCTCTTATATCTTATTTAACATCTACATATATAAAAACCTAAGCCACCGAATGACCAGTCGCTATGACGTGCACTGACCACCAGGGGGCAGACACTCTAGCAGGAGCTGCCCCCTCGTGGTCAGTACACTCCAATAGCCAACCTCGGCAGCTGGCCAATCTCCTGTGGTCCCTTGCCCCCGACGGCCATCCCCAATCGGCCCCTTCCCCACAGCCTGCCAACCTCCCACGGTCCTTCCTCCCCACCCCCTGTTGCTGGCTGGTCCTGATTGGTCCTATCTGGACTGGGCGAGACAGACCCTATCACTGGCCAGGCCGAAATTGTGCACAAATTCGTGCATTGGGCCTCTAGTGTATAAATATTAATGATAAATTAATATAACATATTCAATAAAAATTAGTGTTTTACCATAGTCCTGACCTCCTGCAATTTGATGCCATATGGAATATGTTACCAATCTTTCTTTCCAAGCATATTATGAAAAGAAAACAACCACGGACTGGTCTAGATTGCTTTCTGTACTTAATGGAAAACAAAGAAATAGTTTTCTTTCATAAAATATTTACTGCATAAATGGATCATTCACCTTGTTTATCTCTTTTTAAATGGATTATCTATAATATAGTTATACCTACTCAGCTATAGTCTTAGTGATCAGAGATGCATAGATTTACACTGTACGTAGTAGAATCATGGAGTTGTAGGGCTTGAAAGGACTGTAGGTATCATCTAGTTAAATGTTCCATGAGTCCCAAAGTGTCTTAGGTAAACCTCTTTCAGGATTCCATGCTTAAGCTCAGCCAGTGACATCATTTACATCCACTTAGATAAGGATGTATGGATATAGAGGATGTATATGCATGCCTGTCTGTCTAATAAGAAACAATTGGGGCCAGTAGGATTTTAGTAGAAATAATTAGTGAAAGGACATGAAAGTCTTTTATTATTTAGCAGTGTTCTACCAGTGAAAGTTTTTAAGCCAGGTTCAAGAAATCCTCACTTAAGTAAGACACTCAAAGCAAAGATATCGCAGATAAGAAATTGGAAAAGGAAGTAAGGTGTTTCTGTTTTTTAAAGTGTTCTAAAACCCACACATTGAGTGCATATTATAGCAATATAGACACAAGGGAATGATTTGGGGTGTGGTAGTTTAGAAATATATACATTTTGTTCTAATTGTGCTGTGAGCCCTTACTGAATTTCAGCTAAATTATTTTGCACAAGGCTTTTTCATAAAGTACCAATAACTCTATCTGAAATCACAGGATTGTGATTATTAGACTAGTCTTCATGGTTGATTATATTATCCTTTTAAATTGCCTTTTAATTTTCAGCTGATGTAAGTGAAATAGATACTATAAATTAATTAATATTGGATCTGTTCCGTGTTTATGCTCTAGGAGATTTCAGGAGACAAGCAGATAGATAAGGTTCTAAACAAATGTGCCATTTGGGGCGGTGACATTTTAATATTCATACCTTGCTTATTTGTTATTTTTAGTAGGCTATCTATTATATTAATGTGCATGTGAGTAGCTATATGCCACGTCATCTAGGCCCTTATTGAGTTAAACTACATTTATCTCATCACCAATCAATCTTGTGGCATGTGGCTGTAATTTTCAGGTGGTCCTTTGCATGGTCCTTTGTTACTTATAGATCCTCTTTTATGAAGATCATTTTGTCCCAGCTAAATTTCTATTACCTTTTTTTCTGCCTGAAGTTCTGCTTATCTTTTCGCTTCATTTCCCCCTCTAACAGGTTGAATTTAGATAGTCCCTTGGCTGTTAAATACTTTTCTCGTCTTGCTTTTGAAGTTGGTCTTGAAGGATGGAATAATTTTGTGGCCTGAGGTGTCTAGCTCTTTGTGTATAAAACAAAATCTGCAACTAAAATGTGTATTCTTGAAATGTCACTTTTGGAAATATCAATGACTGTTTTGATTTGCCCTCAGAATTGATTGGCATATGATCTTTAGAGGCTTACAGCTTCTTGGTTCTACTTCCAGTTTACTAGTATTAAAAAACTTAAATTTAAATACCATATCATCAAATGCCCACTGTTCTGTGAGGAAAACCACATGAATTTGGTTGTTATTTATGTTCTTCTCTCTCTCTTTATGGATTTTAGGGGTCTATTGAATCTAAGTAAGACAACAGCATCACAGATAAATATGCAGAGGACTTACTTTAGATTAAGATTGTATAAGTAATTATATCATTAAATGCATTTGGTTTATATTTATGTGCATTTTATGAATTTGGAGCAAAACACAGGACTGAGGAAGAATAGCCTACTTGTCGTCTGGAGTAGAGGTTTTAGGAAATGTATTTAGTGGTTACAAGGACTTACTCCATATACTGGGTATTTTCATTTAGGGAATGAAATAAACAGATTTCAATGCATTCTAGTAGTGCCGAACAACCCAGACTGCACTTGTTGTGTAGTTGAGCTAGAATCCACTAACGAAGAATGTATGCATCTTTCAGAATGGCACATATTTTAAAAATGATTCAGTTTTTTGAGGAGTGGAGGAAAAGGGAGGATGGGGAAACTTTATTAGGGTCCATATTTAAGTTTGTATTCCCTTTTGCTTTGTCTGTCCTAATCCAGCCATTTGTAAAATTAGAGAATTATTTTTAGGCCAGAAGTTTTCAACCCGTGCTTCTTTTTTCTTTTGACAGTAGTGCTTGCTCTGAAATTACAGGAGAAGTGTTGTGTATATGTATATTCATTTGAGGGAAGAGCCTATGGATTTCAGCAGAACAGAAATCTCAGATTCCAGTCCCACCTGCTTCCCAACTTCTCACGGGGTTTTAAGAACACTGTTCTAGATGTTCCTTCCATTTGAAAACCAGGTAGCTTGGATGAAAGCTGCAGTCTAAAGATCTAGAGAGACTACTGACATATATAGTTCGTTCTTACCAAACCTACATGTATTAGCAGTACTAGTCTTCAGTAGATAATAATCTTATGCTAGACATACCCTCAAAGTTTTGTCTCACTTGCATGCATTATTTTTCATTTATTTTCTTCATCTCTTTTATAATTTTTTATAATTTAATCTTATTTACCTCTTCTTCATGTATTTGTAAATGTCTTTATATCAAGCTATTTATCTCTTATAACTAATAAATAGGAATTTTGAAACTATGGTCTGTCTCTTTAGAATTCTCATGCCAAGTGTGACATTTTATAAATAGTGAATACTTAATAAATGTCACAAACTGACTGACTCATTCTGGAAGTGGTAGTCTATGGAAACTTCCCATGGAGATTTGCTTTCTTGCTGTTAATTGTTTCTATCTCTTATTACTAACCAATTGGGATGGATTGAAGAATGTATGTTTTTGTGTGATTCTTACTTACTATGTAAATATAATTTAATTACAAATATAATTGAAAAATCTCTATTTTTAAAAAAAGATTTAAAAATTGATTTTTAGAGATAGAGGAAGGAGCGGGAGAGAGAGAAACATCAATGTGAGAGCAAAACTTCCATTGGCTGCCTACTGCATATCCTCTACCGGGGATCCAGTCTGCAACCTGGGCATATGCCTCTACTGGGAAAGGAACTGGTAACCTTTCAGTGCATGGGACAATGCTCAACCAACTGAGCCACACCAGCCAGGGCTTCTCTGATTTCTTTAAGGGAGCAATCAAAGCAGTGAAGCCATGCACCAGACCCATTGTGTGTTTTGTAATGGAACCTGTGTTTATTTTTTTACAGTGAGGGAGGTAAACCTACAGGACATCAAAGAGGATTTGGACTTGGATCCAGAGGAGAACAGCACCCTTTTTATGGGCATCCTCATCAAGGGGCTTGCCAAACTGAAGAAGATCCCAGAGACAGTGAAGGCCATCAAAGAACGTTTGGAACAGGAGCTCCAACAGATTGTGAAGAGGTCTACAACCCAGGTGGCGGACAGTAGCTATCAGAGAGGAGAGAACCTTACTGCGGACAACCAACCAAGGTAGACAACCAACCGGTGCAATTCATGTGTTTGATAGCTATTGTACCTTTTCTAGGGTGGGAGGTAAGTGATTATCTTCTTTTGATAATGTTGTGCCCAGATTTCAAGATTCCCAAGGGCCCACCAGGGAGCCAGCGAGTCCGATGCAAAAGCAAAGAGTCATTTATTTCAAACCTAGGTTTGGCTCCCCTGCCCGCCCTTACTGGCACAGCAGCAAGTGGCAGAGAGAGAGAACTCTGTGTGGAGAGAGGCTTTATAGGGGGTTGGGGAAAGGGGAGGAGAAAGGACTGTGGGCCCTGCCCATTGGCCAGGCACAAGTTGGTGTCTTGTCACACAGGATGTGGCCATATCTATGGCGACTTCTCTTGATTGTCATTGGCCAGTTCAAAGAAGTCCTAGGCGTGGCCAGCAGCGGCTTGGCTTCCGGGAAGAAGCCTTGCTGAGCACATGGCCAAGATAAGATGGAGGGCATAGCCCTTACCCTGGGGCAAGGTGGAGGGCGTAGTCCTCGCCCTTTCAATATTATTTCTTGAACTTGGGATACTATAGAACATACAAACTCAATTGGTGAAAACAGCTTCAATAGGTATAATTCAGCTGGCTTTTTTTTTCTTTTTCTTTTTCTTTTTCTTTTTTCCCCCCAGCTAGCTTTTGACATAGTTGCGAAGTTTCAATGCATTTTGTTCAGATGCAAATGAAAAAATGAAGCAATTATTGGATATTTACTAAGTATTAAGCAGAATTCAAGGCAATTTGTATATATTATGTCATTAAGTATCACTACAACTTTATGAACTACTTATTAGCCATAATTTACAGTTAGGGAAGTGGGCCTCAGAGATTAAGTAATTAGTCAAGGTCACAGAGCAAGTGACTGACCTTGGGGTTGAATGCAAGGCCATGGTCCTTCTTCCATGTTTTGTCCTTTAATATGTGGATATTTGTCAGTAGGCAAATTAGTCTCAGGAACTATGGCATCTATTTAAAACAACTAATTGGGTTTGGATTTCATACTTCTTGTTTCATAAGGGGAAAACTGAAACTGTGCTCTGATCCAAACTCTGTCTTGACTGTCAGGCACTGAGAGAGAGCACGTCTGCCAAACCAGAGTCTAGGGCACATCAGACTAATGCCATCTGATGGTGGGACAAGAGCTTTGAAATGGAGGCTTTCCTAGAAATTCAGGATCCACTCTGCACAGATCTCTGTTCTCCTCCTCTGCTTTTACCCCAAACTCTCCACATACACCAGACATGCACAAGGCAGGAATTTGCATGGGCAGGGAGTGGGGGTGGGGGTTGGGGGTGGGAAACTACACTGTCATCTGAGAGCACAGGGCACAGTAAGGCATATCTTCTGAGTTCAAATAATGTGAGTTTCTGGGAAGAAATCATAATCTTATTGACATGCTGTTAAGGAAATTCTGCTGTTAGGGCTTAAATTTTTTTTCTTTAAAGAAGATAAATTTCAAAGGAAATAATAATAGCTCACTTAGTCTAGAATTTCCTAGACTTTACATTTTTTTGGAAAAATAAGGTATGCTGTTTTCTTTTTTATATTATTTTATGTATCTAAATAACATTAATTTTAATTATACTTTAAAATTTCAACATTAATTCCCTTGTAAACTTCATTCAAAAGTACAGTTGTTGAAGAAACCTTCCTTCACCCCTCGCCTGCCACAGAATATTTCAGAGCATATGTTGTGATGAGCATGGGTTTAGGAGTTGAGCAGACCTGACTGAGGAAATAATACCTGCTTTATAGGGTTGCTGGCATTAGATGAGGATATATGGTTAGACTTTAGTAGCGTAGTGCCAGTAACTGTATTGGTGTATATTAACACACACATTTATTTATTCTTGTTTTTTTCCTCAACTTCATGTTCTTTGATCACTCACAGTATGACCCACAGAAGCTGGAACTTGTTCTGAATTGAATTTTTCTTTGTTGCCTGGTGCCTGGATTTCCTTGATGACCTTTTGCCTCCTTATTAATGAACACTCCAGAATTCCGGCTCTCTATATGTCCTGCTGCTGCAAGTTCCTAGATGAATACGCTGAACTTTCATAGGGAAATAACATGACTGTAGTATATATTGGAAGTAAAACGAAAGGGCACGGATCAATAACTTTTCTGCAGATCTCATTACAGTGCCCTTAAAAGCAATGTGTCTTTCAAAGGATTTTGACCTCTTCCTCTTCTGTGCCCTAAGCCCCTTGCAGAATTCACGAGTGGAAATTGCAGCAGTAGAGGTAGAAATTCAGCATACTGCCCTGGAGATAATAAATGTTTCTCTATGGTGAATGAGTCAGCAAGAGGTTTTTTCCTTCTCTAAGTTTTGTTTTTGTCAATATTTTGAAGGCTTTTGTAGGCAGGATATATTGGACAGTAGCAAGTGAACAACCAAACTATCTAAAACATGATCTCATTTTATAAAATGTACAAATCTGAAATTTTGGGCTCAAACACTTTGAGGTAAAATAGTACAGAGAAAGCAAATATTTGGGGTGAACAACTTAAAAAAAGGAAATTAAATTTACTGGGGTGACATTGGTTGATAAAATGATATAGGTTTCAAGTGTTCAGTTCTTTTAAAAAATGTATTTTTATTGATTTCAGAGAGGAAGGGAGAGGGAGAGAAAGAAATATCAATGATGAGAGAGAATCATTGATCAGCTGTCTCCAGCACACCCCACAAGGGGGATCAAACCCATAAACTGGGCATGCGCCCTGACTGGGTATTGAACTGTGACCTCCTGGTCCACAGGTTGGTGCTCAACCACTGAGCCGTGCAGGTGGGCTCAAGTGTTCAGTTCTGTAACACATCATCTGTATTTTGCATTGTGTTTACCGCCCAAACTCAAATCTCCTTCCTTCGCCATATACATCTGACTCCTTTACCCTGTACTACCTCCTCCCCAGCCCCACTTCCTTTCCCTCTGGTGGTGAACCACTTTTTGAAGATTAAAGATTAAATTCTTGGGCTGGCACTCCAAATGACTGATGATTTTGAGCTTGTCTGTGTGCTATCAAATGCTTTATAATGTCTCAAGAATTACCTTGGAAACATCATTGAAAAGTCATGATTTGCATTGCTGCTTCTTAGAGGTTTAGAAAGGATAGTGTCAGAGTATCCCTTAAAGCTTGCATGGTACTTTGTGTTCATTGAATTTTATTGGGAGGTGTTAGTGGCATTTATTTTAGAGAGCAGTAAAGTCACAATATTTTGCATAATTTTTTTTTTACCATTACATACAAGGACTCCTATGCCAAAGGTATAAGAATCTGCTTATAGAAAACTGAAGCATAGCCAAAAGGAGCCATGATTCTTCCTTCTCCAACATGCATATTTTCTCCCTCATCCCCCCTCCCAAGTGGGAAAAAAAAGACTATTAGAAATCATTAGCATATAAATGCTACTCTGAGGCAAGATACCATTTCTGTAACTTTTTCTGAAAGTTTCATTGTTTAATATCATCCTATTAAATATATTCTGGTTGTGATGCATTGCAGGCTTGTTTTCATTTGTTTTTATGTAGAGAATTAATGTTGTATGCTATTTTGCTAGAAAAGTAGAAGGAACCAAGCTGGAATTCTGTCTTTTTTTTCCACTTCCTACAGAGCCAGTATACATTCACAGCCAGTTTTTAAAAATCACTTCAGTGATCTACTTATTATTTTATTTTATTTTTGACCCCCAAGCTATCTAAACTAAAATTTCCCAAAATATTTGCTGTCTCTTTATAGGAGAAATATTTTGCCATTCATAATCTGTCTAGTGTCTATAAACCTCTACTTACTATTAAAGGAAAATATTCAACTACTTTTGTTGCCAACTTGATAAACATTAGGGGAACATGTGCTTTGCCAATCTCCCAGGACCACCAGCTACCGATTATGTCCTCAGAAAGGCAGGCAGTGTCTTCAATTTCAGGTCTCCAAATCCTGCTGCCTAATCATTGATACTTTCCCCAAATCTAGCTCACGAGCATTTTCTCGTCATTTTTGTTTTAAAGAAGCTAGAAGAAGGTCTCTAGTAAGAAAAGCATGAAGAAAAGACAGAAGAAATAAAATCTCAAAGGTGCAGTATCTTGTCAAGAATATGAAAGAGAAAAGAATGTGGGAAAAGAATGATTGGCATGTGTGAGGCTACTACATCCTCTATTTGAAAATGGTCCTGTTTAAACGTCAAGACAAAATTCATTGCAGGGGTTGGTGCTGGAGGTCTGTTCCACTTTGGCAAAAACTGTTGTTCTTGAAGAGGGCAAGAAGGGTTGAATGAGTTGGAGCCATGGCTGTTAGAGAGATCTTTTTCCTTTTCAGAAGGAAACCATTTTCAGTGTTCCTTGATCTCTTTTATGAATGAAAGGTTTTGTCTGATAAAAGAAGTAGAGAACGTTGCATGTTCTATGCTCACTGTCATATTGAAGGAAGATTCATGAAAAACAAGGGGAGAAATATACTTTAATGCTAAAAATAGTTGTGTTTAGATAATAAGGTCGTATGTTTTATTTTCTGCTCTATTTTGCAGCTGTTAAGTTGTAGTGGAAAATAAATTCCTCATTCAAGAATTAATTTGAACTATTATTCAAGTTATTTTAATCAGAAGAAGTCACTAAAAATGAAAATGTGCCCTGACTGGGTGGATCAGTTGGTTGGAGTGTTGTCCTGTGCACCAAAAGGTTGCAGGTCAGGGCATATATCTAGGTTGTGGGTTTGATCCCCAGTTGGGTGATTATGAGAGGCAACCAGTCGATGTTTCTCCCTTTCTCTCTCTCAAATCAATAAACATATCCTCAGGTGAGGATTAAAAATTATTAAAAATAAAATAAAAATAATAAATTTTGATTATTAATAAAATGAATAATAAAAATAATAAAAAAAAGTAAAAGCCTACTGGGGGTATTAGTATGGAAAAATGTAATATCTCTTTGCAGAGCATTACATTACTTTTTATGATTTTCTGACTGCTCCTAGAATGGAAGCTTCAAGAGAAG